AACCCCTAAACTCCAAACCCTAAGCCCTAATCCCTACACCCGAAGCAAATCCCTAAACCCTCGCACCCTAAACCCTAAACCCCGAACCCTAAACGCAGGAGCTGAGATTCCTACTTTCTACCAGTTCCAGAGCAACATGGTGGCGGATGAGGCTGCGATCTCGGGCGACGACAATGTGTTGGCTTCTTTGGGGTTTAGGGTTTCGGGTTCCTTTAAAGGAACTATGTGGGTTCCTACAAGGGCATCTACAAGGGTACTATTAAGGGGTTTAGGGGTTTAGGGATTGTGGTTCTAGGGCTTCAGGGTCTGCTAGGAGGTTCTTGGGTAGTGATAAGTGGGTTATAAGTCCCGCAATATGGGGTATAAGTATAGATATCCATGAACCTCCAAGTAGGTCTTATGGGTTTGGGGTTAAGGGGTATCGGATCGGGGTTTAGGGTTTAGCTTTGGGTTGTAGGGTTTAGGGTACTATGTTTTGCAGCCTGATCTAAGCCGGTCTAGCAGTGTATGGGTTGCAAGAAGGGTTACTATCACGGTGATTGTATAAGGGTGACAAGAACTGCTGATACCATTAGGGTATACAGGGGTTATTTTGTAAGGTGTCACCACTTCTAAGCCTGTGGAGATCTCTTCTAGCCTGGTCTGAGGCTTGAAGCTAAACCAAAGGTTGAGCACTCTAAACCCTAAGCCCCAGTTTCCGTCGCCAGTCTAGTCCGGTCCCACAAGCAAAAATCAAGCCTTGTAAAAACTGGGCCACCAACACCAAAGCAACCCCAGCTCTAAGGCCCTAAACCCCTGAACCCCTGAACCCTAAGCCAAACCAACACTGGCCTCTCCAGTCTCAGCCAAAGTAGCAAGGCGGACAAGAAATCTACACAGTTAGAGGCACTGGCTAGGACGTGCCCGTAAGGCCTGTAATAATTAAGACGTGAGAGCTAACCTTCAAGCTTACTTGGAGGTTCATGGGTAGTTATAAGTGGGGTTATAAGTAGGTTAGGGGACTTATAACCCCATTTCTAACTACCCATGAACCTCCAAGTAGGTCCTCGAAGCCCTGAGCCCTAAGCCCACGAGATCCTCAAGCCCCTTTGTTCTGCACAGGACCTGAAGCCTGGCATGTGCAGCGGGTTGGAGGCCGGCATTTGAGGTTCGCAGGTCTTTATTTAAACCCCGCCGAAGCCCTAAACCCTAATATAGGGGCCTAGATAATTACCAAACCTCTCTGAGGGGTTCCTTGTTATAACTCCTATTCAATTCTATTGAGGCCCCTGCAGTAGGTTTTTGGGCTTGGGGTTTGGAGTCTTGCTTTTTGTTCTTGGGGCGTTTGGAGCTCACCAGGGTTGAAGCCGATATGGTGTGGCCTTTCTTCAGAGTAGTCTTTTATAGTATAATTATAATGAGGAGACCCCAAACTAATGTAGGTAATGAGTGAGGCCCCTATATTGCCTCGGCCCAAGCATTACTTGGAGGTTCGTGGGTAGCGATAAGTGGGCCTAATTTATAGTTATAGTTGCCCTACTGATACCCATGAACCTCCAAGTATACAGTAGAAGCCAGAAAGTTGGGACATTATTATCCTCATACCCGTAAGGTACAGTAGAAGGAATCATAGCACGAATCATTCCTAAGCCATGTTCCAACTTTCTGGAGCTCACGAGCGCCATAGCATCAATCCCAGCCTTGAAACCAGCCTTTGCGCAGGGGCCTGGAACCGAGCGGTTCCAGAGGGTCTTTCAGCTTTCACCGCCGTTTTCAGTGTTAGGATTGTGGCGTTTTGAACCTGGGCAGAGGATGTAATGTTGAGGCTGGCCAGGGGCTTGCCCGAGTGCTGGCTAGTTTAAGAAACCATCGTAGGTTTGGGGTTCAGCGTTTAGAGTTTCGGTTTATTTGGCTACCGTGATTACCGTGATTGGGACATATCGTGAATAGCATGATTTCCTTTTTGTGATATTCGCAGGATTCGTAACGAATGGTATGGTTGTTTTTGCCTCCAACATAGAAGCACCGCTCCTCAACAAGAACCCCGTTGCATGCGAGCCGGCGTGTGAGCAGGAACAAGGATCGTAATAGTGACATTGACTGAAGCCATGGGGTATCAAAAGTAATGTGTGTGCATACATATATTTATACTTATATCTATATCTATATATATATATACATATTCACATAATCGCACCCCTTATAATCATCACAGCACTCGTACAGTAATTTACTTAGAGTAATCAAAAAGTCGATCGTCGTGAGAGAACCTTGCAGACGCGACGACCGACCAGGTGGACAAGAGGCTGACGCTGCCCACGCGCACGCACATCCGCTTCCTCGTGACGGGCCAGGACAACCTTATAATTAGAATAGGGTTTTTGGGGTATATTGTATTATAAACATAATTAGGAATTCCCAAAATAGTATGGGTAGTTATCTAGGCTTCTATATTAGGGGAGTGCTTGGCTTTCTGGCCCTGAATCCTTATCCCGAAGCGATTTTGCGCAGCAGGGCTATTTTCCTTCATGGCCTGGAGTGGTTTCATCGTTTGAACCATCAGCTTTGTAAGCAGGCTCGCAAACCCGCGCCGGATTTGAAGCTTCTGGCCTGAAGCAAAATGCGCTGATGAAAAGCTTCCTCAAGATGGTCGGTGGTCTTATCTTTGTGCGAACATCATGATCCGGCATGCCGTTCTTACTGTTATGTCCCTTTCCCTGCATTCCTCAATCTTCTTGCTCCTCTTCTACGTATTGCAGGGTCGCGTTCTCGTTTAAGGGTCGTCCCCACAGTCATCCCCATCCCCATCCGCGTCTTGCTGCCGTCCTTGTCCCCCTCCTCCGTGCTCATGGCCGAATGCAGTTTGAAGTACAAGTGGTCGACCGAAGCAGCAGCAGTATCTGTTCTGGGAGCCGAGAAGAACCCCACCCTTAACCCTACACCCTAAGCCCGAAACCTGTCCAGGATGTCATCCACTCCTTCTCCATCCCTTCCTTGGGCTTGAAGACGGATGCCACGCCTGGCCGCATCAACCGTGCCCTTCTGCAAGATGCCCTCATTCACCTTGAAAGCCCAATTAGGGGGCAGATCGATGTACCGCAAGGCCACCAGAACGTAGCAGGGAGGGAGAGAGGGAGGGAGGGGGTCTTGTTGCAACTTCAGGAAAAAGGAGCGATGTGCCTCTGGATCCGCAGGGCCTTTAAGATTTTCCCAAGCTCACAAGCAGATGCCTCCTCCATTCGCATCCCCGCTAACGCGGGCATGTCCACGCTGCTTGGCCGAGTTTGGGAGATCTCGCCCTGCGGAGTACGGCTACAAGGTCTGGCTGGGGAAGAGCACTTCTGGGCTCCGGCTTTCGAGGTGGGGTTTTAAGGGACCAAAAACATGACGACATGTACATACATATATATATATATATACACACACACACGTAAAGTATATATTTATACGCACACATACATATAAGTATACATGTAAATACGCATATACATATACATGTGAGAAAGTCATAGTTCTTATTTTGAAGCCAAATGGCAGCCGAGTTGTTGAGTAACATCACACACTATATACATATACATATATATATA